CGAGTCAAAGCATGGGTACCGCACTGATTAAAAAATATGTAGGTAATATGAGGTGTAATCTCAGAATTTTAAGCATAATAAATTTATCTACTGGATTTTACGCACTGTTGTTTACTTAATTTATGTTTTAATTCCAATATAATATAGGTAATAATTCTAGTGAGACATTATCTACTATCTTTTAGTTTTATTATTAATCTTTTTCGTAAACCAATTCGGCGTTCAATTAACGAAATTTAAGCTACCAGACAGGGTAGGCTGGTAGGTTAGAAACAAATGAAAATAATTGGCAACTCTTTCTCTATTCTTATGTTACTTTAAATCCTATGGATGGAAACAGAACTCGCGTGGGTGTTCCTCGCCTTGAGACCAGTTTACAACACCACATAGTATAAACAAAGTCGCTTTGTCTGTCCCTTTATCCCTGGGTTCGCTTAAATCTTTGAAACTATGCGTAACTATGCGTATATATTTTGATGCGGTTTCTTTTATATATAACATATATAATAAATAGATAGAGTGATTAAAGAGGTAGGTTTAATATGTATAATAAAATCCATTAAATTCTGATGTTCAGTATCAGCTTTGCACCTGTTCGAAGCCAGAGCCGGTCGCTAGTTTACATTATTCAGAAATTGTCCCACGTGAATCTATGACCGCTATGAAAAGTATTCTAATAAAAAAATATGCATTTCTTGAAAATGAATTTTACCAATTTTTGTGTGTCTAGAAAATAACTTATAACCAAAACTTAAAAAATTAAGACTTCCAAGCGTCTCAAAGGGTTTTCATATGACTGTATTAAATTGCTTTGTTTATCTCATGCTGTCCCAAACGTTAGAAGGAATAGGTACATTAAAATTTGAATGTGTCTATTCGGAAAAAGTGCCCTAAAAATTGTATCTAAAATGTAAGCAACAAATCTGAAAGGCCTTCTTTAAAATAAAGATAATCAGGTCAGGTGTCGTGGTGGCCCGGAGGTTAAGGAGCCCGCTTCTCATGCATGAGGGTGTGGGTTCGAACCTGGCAAGTACCAATGTGACTTTTTCGGAGTTATATGTACTTTCTATGATTATTTAGACACCACTGGCATACGGTGAAAGTAAACATCGTGAGGAAACCTGGACTTATAATTTCTAATTATAAGTTTGAAATCGCCAACCCGCATCGAGCAAGCGTGGCGATTAATGCTCTAACCTTCTCCATATGAGAAGAGGCCTTTGCTCAGCAGTGGGCACTTATGGGCTGATGATGATGATGAAGGTCAGGTCAGGTTTAAGTGTTTTAACAGCCATATAATTTCTTGACTCAGGGTTTGAACTTAAACATTCTTTTTCAATAGCAATGTGGTGCAAAATGAAACCATGGTAAATGATAATGGAACAAAAGTTTATTCTGTCATATATATTTCTAGATTGGAGTTCCTCCCGTCTTTGGACTTGGATGGAGACGGTCCGGTGCATGGCATTCTGGCTACCCTAAGACAACAAAAGCGTGATGATAAAATGAGTGTGATTTGATATGAACTATGTAACACAAAAAGCATTTTCAAATTAGGACTAGCAGTTCCGGAGATTAGCCCGTTCAAATAAATAAACAAGTTTTTAGTGTGGGGAGCCGAGTTTCGAAATCGAAGAATCGGCTCGACAGGAGTGATACCACGGTCTCACAGAAAACCGGCGTGAAACAAACGTTCTGTTTTGCCGTGTAAGTGATCTCCCTTAGTCTCTCCTTAACCCCCAAATCTCCAAAACCCTAATCCCCAAAAGGCTGGCAACGCACTCGTAACAACTTCATCAGCTAAACCAGCTACTCTTTTGCCACCCTAGCACATATAAAATAGGTGATTTCATCATTGAAAACCTCTTTTCATGTTTCATCATCATTACTTCTAATTTGTTTCAGAACTTTTGGAGTCTATTCAACGCAAAGCAAAGAATAACTTCTTCCTTTTTTATTGTTATTAGCTTAAATTAGGTTAATAAGCGAAGTGAAATGAGAAGTTGACAAAGAATTTGTACAGTCAATAACATATGTTAGTGCCTATTATGTCTTTACCAATCACGGGACCACAGCGTCTTAGTCATTTGCTAGGAGTACAAGGGGCCAGAGCCAACTGCGCAGGGGCCCTTTAGACAACTTAAAACTAAATGAAATGGGACACAACACAACCGGCAACTATCCCTGTATGCACTATGGAAATACACCGCAAGGAGCATGTCACCCAAGTGCCAAGGGCAGTCCCCGGTTAGTGTAGGACTATTGCAAAAAATGGAAACAAATAAGGCTTTTTTTTGTGAGGGGAAATCATCCAATGACTTCTCCCGCCCAGGGCCGGGCGGGAGCGAGTGTCAGACTCTTACCGACTAAAAACCATCTGTTCCTTCTTCTGCTCTGGGCCGAGGTCGCGGTGCCTCATTGCGAAACAAATAAGGCTATGGGTGTAAGTTGTTATGGAGTGGTATGGTGGAAATTATGGAAGGACTATGGCCCCTGCCGAAACAATGAAATAAGTACACGTAAAAATGGCAGGTGTAGACCCCCGGGAATAGTTGCTAGTAATAGCAACAGAGGGACAGCGGTGATGTGAGTGGCTGAAGGGTGAAGAAACTGCCACCAGCTTTCTACTCAGATCATTTGCATCTGCCTAAAGCATCCTGCATCTCTTGCCTCTTTAAATAAAGTCATTTCATGATTTTCCCCCGACAAAAATAAACCGCTTCTCATGCATCATGCATATGATATTAATGTTCTTTGCTTTTCACTTAATTTTATTATGCTTTTACCTTTTGTTTTCTAATATTTGATTTCGTCCAAGGATTTTGTGTTTTCATACTTTTCATGTGTAAAATTATAAATATAAAATGGTTATTATATAGGTAATAGTTATTATATGGGTAACACTATAGAATTGAATAGTTATTATATGTATAGGTAACAGTTATAGCTTTAAGAAGTACCTAGTAATATTTTTTAGCTAACTTTAATAACGTAGTGAGTTAATGTGAACTATATTTTATAACAATGCATAAAAGTGTTTGTGATATTGAAGTGATAACTAATGTAATAAAAAATATAACATGTATTATTATCTAGTTATAAGTTAAATTGCTGCGCCCTAACAGGGTAATGTACTGTACTGGATGTATGTTATACTTGACATTATATGTACATTGTGCAATATGAATAAATAAAAATAAAATGCTTTCAAATCATGCTCATGGGGTGCGAGTTCGTAAGCTGGCAGGTACATTTTAGCTTTTTCCGAGTTATATGTACTTTCTATGATTAATGAGGCACCACTGACATACAATTAAGGAAAATATCGTAAGGAAAACCTAGTCTTATAATTTGAAATCGCTAATCCGCATTGAGCAAGCGTGGCGATTAACTCTCAAACCTTCTCCGTGTAAGAAGAGGTCTTGGCTCAGCAGTGGGCACTTTTAGGCTGATGACGATAATTAGTTAAGCGCCCACTAACATATTTTTTTCAAGCCCTATACCTAATTTCGTTTTATTGTGTCTAAAAATAGATTTAAGACGATGTCATGTCATTATTAACCCAACCAAGTAAATCGAATTGCTTGCTTTAATTAATATAATAATTACATGCTTGCGTTATTTTGTGAATAAAAGAAAATACTTTTGGTTGTTATTAAGATGAAAGAATTAACTAAATAAAAATAAAAATTTTGTCGGTGGGGGTGGAAACCATAATTTAGTATGTGTGTGTTCGTGTGTAGTGCAAGCACAAAAGCAACCTCATAACAAAAATTAATTTAATAAAAAATAATAAACTAAAAATTAAAATAATATTGAAGAGAGTTTAATAACAATACCATTTTAGAATATGAAATATAATCATCAATTGTATTGGAAGAAAATCTAATTGTATTTTTATATTTCTTGCTGTGTTTTATTGGGAATAGTTTAATTCAAATCTAAAATTAAATCTATTTTCTTTATGAACATAAGAAAAAGTAAACTGAGTTAGGTACCAGTTTTTTTAAAGAGTGAGTTATATGGAGATAGGTGTATGGTATGTGGGTAATAAAAAGCGTAATTAACTTAAAATAAAAAACATTTATTTATAAAATTATGATATAGTTAAAACATATCAAAAATTCGAACATTCACATATAAATGTATTATTAAGGCAACATCATCGGCTCTTAGCATTTTTTCATAATATATTACTAAAAAATAAAACAAAAAAATTGTCACAAAAATGTCAAACATCAGCCATTTTATGCTTGAGATTTTTGTTAAAAAAATTAAACTAATTGGTCCAATAAAAGTTTTAACAATTTTATGTAATAATAAGTAATAATAATATAATTTTTGTACTAATTCTCTTAATCAAAATATAATTTTAATTTGGAAAATGTGATAATTTTGGGCAATATATATTGTTATCACATTCCCCACTAAAATTTAATTTAAATTAATAAATATTCTTTTGTCATTTTTATTGTCATGTTATATTTCAGATGAAATATTTTGTGCTGTTTATATTAAAATAATTAAAATTAAAAACAAAATGAAATAGCAAAATAATATAAAATTATATTATTAAACTAAGGCAGTATTTTATTTGTTTATTTTGAGAGATTAATACCTATTTCATGTTGTAATAAATACTGTTGTTTTTATTGTTTTGTTATTATTGATTATTTTATATTGCAAAAGAATTTAAAATAAAAAATGATAAAAAGGAACAAAAATAAGCTGCAACATTATTTTGTTATTTTAACGTATAAAATTGTTCTTTAGTAATAATAAATTACTAAAACAGAGCAATAAGAAGCAATAACTTAACTAACAACTTAGTAAATAAACCGCGCGTGGAGTTGGACGTCCGTAATATTTTTGACAAAAACAAAATTATTACAAAAAAGTTGTAATTAAAAAACGAGAAAGTAAAAATAGAAAAAATATTTAGCGTAAGGTCATAGAAGTGTCATAAAGGTGTGTAAAATTAAAAAAAGTGTTTTTTTTTTAAACTAAAGAGGGAAAGAATATTATGGACGTGTCAACTTGAGAGGTATAGGCTCGCTATCTCACTTGGAGTGCACGAGGTTAAGGAACTCCTCCCTCGTCTTGGGATCATCGCGGAATACTCCCAGCATTGTGGACGTGACAGTCTTACTGTTGATCTTCTGCACACCTCGCATCACCATGCACATGTGTCTGGAAATATAAAGAAATTTATTATACTAACAATTTTAACAAGTTTGGGAGAGCCAAACTTCGGCACGAATGGGTCGGCTCGACCGGAGTATTACCATTACTTCACAGAAAATCGGCGTGAAACAACGGTTGTGTTTCACTTTGTGAGTGAGGTTACCGGAGGCGCAATCCTTGCCCTCCCCCAATCCCAAAATCTCCTAATCCCTAATCCCCAAAGGTCGGTGACGTACTCGTACCGTCAGATAACGCGTTAGCTCGTTAGCCGTCTTATCACATAAAGATGATGATAGGTCGTCATTTTATGAGACGAGCTTGCTACCATGATCATTGATCATAAAATTAAAATTTCTTGTAATTTTTGTATGATTTGCGAAAACAGAAAGATTCAGTTGGATCCTTATTACATTGTAAAATACGGTCTCTTTATATGTTTTAGATATGTATCAAATGTTGATAATAAAAGTGCTACTGCTGTTTAGTAGAAAAACAGAAGTCACAGGCTACGGGGGTCACAGATACTGATAAAATCACAAGGTAAATTAATTATACCCATCACGATACAAGTAACGCCATCTGTTTAATAAATCATGAACTAGGTTGAACTTTAATGCTCAGTGCTCCTTTGTTGAGCTTCGCGCCATCTAGTAGCTTTTGTTCAAATTAACTAGGTTTTGAATCTGACTTGGAGCTGCGATATGTCGTCTGGGCAACAGAACCCATAAAATGGTCAGTGATCTGACAAACCCTTGTATGGCAAACTCTTGCCAAAGCGATTTTCAGCAATTAATATAAACCAGAAGAAGAAGATGATGATGATTTAATACTTACACTCCTTCAATAACGACGGCAACACCAGCCGGGCGGACTGCTTGGGTCACAGCTACAGCGATCTGTTTGGTAAGGCGCTCCTGGACTTGGAGACGACGAGAGAAGATTTCCACGATCCTGAAAATGAAGAAGAGGTTTTGGTAAGGCCTGTTAAAGAGAGACAGAGAGAGAGAGACAGGGAGAGAAATATAATCATAAAGAGAGCATAAAGAGGAAAGGGGAAAGGTAGATTAATATATGAATACTGCAAAGTTTTGTATAAATCAGCCGAATGATAGTTATTTGGTTATCCACTGCTATTTGCTCTTTATAATTTATAAGGCGTTGATGATAATTTTGGCTTTTAAGATTTTAGGAAATTAAATAACAGAAAAGGAAAACTTTAGGGTGAATAAGGTGAATAACGAATTACAATTTCTGGTAAACTAAACAAAATATGAGGTAATCGAGGAAAACTTAACTTGTATGGCATATGAATTTTACACTATTCATGAAGTTTTAGTATTCATGAAGTTAACAAGATATTATTATGTTGCTTTTCATATTTGATAGCATCATTTACCGTAAACATTTGCGTATAACATGACAGAATTTAAATTGAAATTATTACTAGAAGAAACCAAATCTAGTATATTCTAATAGAAGCTAATATTTTACAGAGCCACAAAATTCCTGCCGGAAATGACGTTGATTGTAGTTTAATTTTCTAATTCAAACCAAACCAACATTAATTCTGCAGATATTAATGGGGTATTAATACATATTGTATTTTTTATTAATTTATTCTAGACTATAATTTCATCTTTATGCAATATTCCATCCATAACCTTTAGTAGTTTTAGCTTGAAAGTGTAACAAATATACACAATCACATTTTTTTCATTATAATGTTTGTAGGATAGGATAAGGATTTCTTCTAGGTGCTTAATAAAATAGTTAATGGGTCCTTACCTAGCCAGCTTGCTCAATCCAAGGATCTTGCCCTGGGGCAAGTATCCAATGGACACCTTTCCGTAGAAGGGCACCAAATGATGCTCACACATGGAGAACATCTCAATGTCCTTCACAACTACCATCTCATCAGTGTCTTCATCAAAAATAGCGTTGTTTAGGACCTCTGGAAATTTAAATTAAAAATCATTAGTTTTTGTACTCTGAAAAGTCAGATTTATAGAGAAAAGAATTTGTAAAAAAATGTAAGCATTTTTAAATGTTACAAGATTGAATGATTGTTACTCCTTGCTTAAGTTAAATTTAAAATTCCTTAAAAACATTTTTCTCCATTATTTACTTAGGACTTAAAATAAGGAAGTCAGGCAATTCTTTTTAAATTACCAAAAAATGTATCCCATTTGTAGCGCGCTTTATAAATAAAAGTATTACTTTATTTTTAAACTACATACCTTCAAGGCTCTGGTCGTAACCCTTGGTGAAGAAGAGCATAGCCTTAGCAGCACGCTCAGGAGTCTTCAGCAGACCCTCTCTTTCAGGGTCCTCACCAAGACCTGGTGATGGAAACGTGAATTTAGAAACACATAATGTAACGTTTGAGTGAAAGACAGAGGTGTGTTCAAATCCTATTGATTGCTTGTATCATTGTTGCAGTCGACAATCATTTTCATAAAAACAGATTAACAGACATTATATGATTTTTAGTGTCATCCAAATTACTATTATAAATGTGAAAGTATCTCTGTCTGTCTGTCTTTTCTTCACGCCTAAACTACTGAATCGATTTCTGTGAGATTTGGCACAGACATAGTTTGGAACACGAGAAAGGATACCAAAAATCTGCAGGAAGTCACTATTCCACGCGAACGGAGTCGCGGGCAAAAGTAGTTTCACACGAGGGTAATTTGAAAGCCAATACCATCATAAAAGGATTGATTAAATGATGCGGTCATAGTTGTTTTTTATCACGGCGATGTGTATATTATTTAATTTGTATTGAAAACAAGTCTATTGCAACAGTTTTTCCTTCAGTCTCCTTCACCTCCATTCATACTGTGAAGAGTGAGTTTGTTGCATCACTTTTCAACATCATCAACGGTCTATGAGATTTTATCCTAGCCTAGGGTCTCCTCTTTTTTGAAGTGGGTTAGAGATCAAAGCACTACTGAATAATTACCTGTGAGCAGGAGTCTGTATGAGTTAGCCATGTCGGGGAGAAGTGCCTCCCTGGTGGGCGGCCTGTGGTCCAACTCGAGGTCATGGTGGAAGGTGCAGTTCTCGTGGCCTGGAGATAAAAATAAAATTTTAGAAACATGATCACGATGTATCTTTAAAAACATAAGCATTATTATGTAGTACATACGTGTAGTACGTACGTACATTGAAACATATTTTAATGAACGGACGCACATCACTAGGTCTTTTATATCACATCTACAGGTTACATTTTTAAATCCAAAACATTAATGGATTAAATTTTTCGTCATTCTTAGTCCAGCCGTTTTGGAGAGCAAAGTGCTTATTGTGTTAATTTATTGAAGACACATATCATGTTGAATTTGTGACCTGTTGAACATAAGATGGTCTTCTGCATAAGAAAGTGCATGAAGGGCATGATTAATTCTTGTTTTATATACTTATACGTCTATATTAATATGTTTCTTATCACTGCAACTAAATCCAGTCTGTTAAGTTATAAATTATGTCAAATCAAAAATAAAAATAAGGATATAATAATACAAATATTACGCAATTGTAAGGAAAAATTTCGAACCATATTTTTTTTATGATCGTACTAGATTAAAGTTGATTAGCGTTGTAGTATGTATCTGTGTATGTACATCTGTTGCAATCGTTCCGCAAAGTTGCGTGTTTATGATTTATTACAAACATATTTTGATTTTAAATGCTAGCAAAAAATATGAAGTCTACCTTGGATTCTGTCCTAGAATGGAATACGTATTAACATTATTGTGTTCGTTTTTTTAAAGAAAAAATACGTACGATGTTAGCTCCTATCATTGACATTACAACATATAATGCTGTGTTACCATTTTCTCTTTTATGCTCGGATTAACAAAAACGAAAACGTCCTAATTATTAACGCCTTGCTAATCAAACCAAGATCCTTTCGTAACATTAACATGAGACCAAGTTTGTAACCCTGGGGTACACCACATAATAAATCAAAGGAATATTACCAAAAATAACCAAAACGTAGTCGAAAGCCTTAGAAAAAACAAAAAATATGGCATGTTCTTAAACAGTTAACCTAAAAAGTTTAATGCATCGTATACAATGTTTAGTGTTAAGACCTTCATGATTAACTTCACGTGTATATGTTTAAACGTAAACTAGAGTTCAAGAACAATAAACATTGGTTAAGTCTATTGTTTATGAGAAGAATCTGTAACATTGCTTATTTAGTTATGAACTTATTTCGATCCTTGGAACTTTGAAGGTTGGTCGACATAATAATTATAGTAAACTTCGTTTGGGTGCCAACCACTTAACTAACGACGAAAGAGTCGTCATTCCCTTATTTTCCTTCTACTTTTCTGAAATTCTCAATCACAAAAAAATTCCCCTGACTAAAACTACAACAAAGAGGAATTGATAAATTGTTTTTCGTTGTTATTATACTCGATTTTGAGCTTTTATATTGCGCTTACGAATTCGTTTTGCGATTCATTTTTATATTATTTACATATATAGAATCATAATTGTTTGTTGAACTAAATACATTTTGATTTGTTTTATAGGCTTTATATAAAGAGTTTATACAAAACTTATTTCAATAGTGGATATTTTATTTCCATTTTAGGGAAATCGTTTGTTGTATTGGACCGCGCAGAGTTTTGTTTTGTATTGAGTAAATAGGTAAGATATCTTTGTGTATAAAGTATTTGCTCGGCTACATTGTAGTAAGTATAAATTGTTGTATTAAGTATAAAGGCTATGAATGTCGCATTAATTGTATTTAAGACAATATTAATAGTTCTAATTGCTTGGTTAATGAATGAAAAATATGTTTAATACGCCCACTGTTTACGCTAATACAAAGAAAGACAAAACAGTTAATTTAAAAGAACTTCTGTCAGTGTTATCAACATTAAATGATATTTTTTCTTATCACTACCATATAAATGAAAGCATTTACACGGTACGAACTTGTCGGTCGAAGATCAAATCCACAAAGGATAGAACCTAAATAAAATACAAAATTACAATATGACGTCATCATTCAAGTATACAAACCAGGCGTTGTTGAAGTTCGGGGCGTCATAGGTGTTCCGGGGACCTCCAGTTCGCTCTCAGCATCAGTTAAATGGAAGCTCTTTAGGGCCTCAGGAGCCTTCTTGTATTTACTGACAAAAGATCCCTTAACAGGACCATCGCCATTTTCTTTTTCCTCCGAAATCGAATTCCTAACAGAACGCGAACTGACGCGTCTAATTAAAGAAGATGGCGGCACAATCGGGTCTGAATCCTTTCCATTGACAGCGGCCATTTTGTTTTAAACTAAAAAAATCGTATTTTTATTTTAATTAAGTGATTTTAAATCACTATAAATACGTCCGTTGCGTTCGAATTTTGCGGTGTAACTGAGAAAATTTATGAAGTGAAGACCTTATGGTTATCTTTATGAATTGTGAATTTATTTATTAGTTTGATAACCTTTAACATGTTTATCATTCGGTTTATTAAATATAATTGTTATTTCATCAGTAATAATAAAGTAATAATCAAACTTCCGCATGAATGAGTAGCTTAAATTATTAGTTAGGAATTTTTTGGGGTTTTTAGATAAAAATGGCGTAATTTGGTGATGTTTTGTAACTTCGAGTTATCAATGTGATTTATAGTTTTATAAGATGTAGGTAATTATGTTTACATGGTAGAACATCACGACTTTTAACCACAAAATAAGAAGAATAAGACAATTTTAAACTAAGATTTCGCTACCTGTGTTTCTAAGCGATATAAGTATAAACGCATAATTTTTAGAATGTTGGTTAGCTCGTAACTGGCTAATGTATATAACCTACTGCCTATAACCATTTCTTTAAACCACTTTCTATACACAAGCTGTAAGCCTACCTTATATTAAATAAATAAATAAATAAGCGATTAATTTATCGTAACAAAGACAAACTCGATAGTAAAATCTTTTGTTACTTAAACAAAAGTTAAATCAAGTAGCTTTAAAAAAATCGTATGCGTTGTAAATTATATTAGGTATCCTTAAAAAAAAACACGTGGCGCATTTTTGGAAGTCGAAAATTATGAAGGAAAATGCTCAGGTTTAAAGTTTTGAGATTTATTGTGAATACATATATTATTATATTTATTTAACTGACTAGCTTCGACTTATGACAGGAATAACATTTCCATGTCGTGTCGTGTCGTGTCGTGTCGTACCAGAAGTATATCGATGTCATACATTTAGATGGTTAGATACACATTTGCATATCATGTCGTAAATGTACGTAATCGAGGCGTTCGGACTGGACACGATTCGTCACGCCACGGCCTATTTATGCCTTTATTGTGTTACTAAGTAGAAGTGCAATGGCTTTTATCACGTGTTTTAAATGTAAATAAGTACCTATATACTTAGTAAATATATTGGTCTTATATGACGTTAAAATCAATGTTTGTGACCAATGTTGGTCTTAACGCTTGTTTCACGATCTTTATAATATAAATTTCTGATAAAGTTGTGTGGCAAATGGTTTAATATAAAAATTACTTTCTTTATGATATCTGATCAATGTCCTTAGTTTTAATTATTATTGTCTAGATTTGACACAAACACCAGTCTAGTATCAAAGATTAAAACTGGGTCTCATAATTTTACAGTTTTAATATATTCCTGTCTATGGTGGCTATGGACTGCATCAGTTCAGAAGTAAATCAGATAATAGTCGGTGGTTAATCAACTTCAAAATCTCGTGACGGCCCAATCTTGATCTTGGACCATCTCCACGCTAGGGCGGTGGAGGAAGCAGTATTTAAATGTTCGGTATTGACAGAGCGAATTGCTGCTCGATCTCTATCAAAAACTGTATCCCCTTAGTTGGGTCTATGAAACCCACATGAAGAGTTAAGATGGTGATTAATAACAGACTGGTATAACCGGTAGTAAATAAGAAGTATGTTCTGCAATTAACCTTGCTATATATACGTAATCGGTTCGTTTACCTACAATGAAAGCAAAGGCCATATCCGAAGGCTTTTTCCTACTAAAATTATAATTGCTATTTTTCTGTTTCCGGTGTTACAATTACACTTGTAGGTATAAGATTATTTTACATATAAAAATTACTTCTGCATTATGTTTCGAAATGCATGTAAAAGTGTAATTTGAAACGTGTTTGTGTTGTTGCTTAACTTGATATTTATAAATTCTAGGGCTGTATCTTCTGTATATAAAGCCCTTTTAATAAAAAAATTCTAAATAATACTATCCAATAAGCTCAGCAGTCATTCTGATGACTACTAATCAAAGAGTAATTTCCCGAATTTAAAAAACGAAATTTTAATAAACAGAAAAAATACAAAAATAAAATTTCAAAAATTACTATTCAAATTCCAAATTTCAATAATGACTTAATAAAAATCATTCGATAAATAATAAAATAAAATTTTTTTTTTGTTTAATTTTTCGAATTGTTTTAATTTTTGTGCACGTTTCTCGATGTTATTCGCTTGTCAGCTGACGTTTGCAAGTAAAACTTTAATCTTGTCAGATCACATTCGAAGATACCAATCAGTCACTGCGACTATTTGAGACGCGACGTGAATTTTAAATTAATTTTCTTACTGTTTTAGGTTAATAGCGCAAACAAGAACTTTCCTTCACTTTAGTGTTGCCGAACTGATTTCTCTTTTTTTATTATACCTACTATAAATTGCGTAACCTCGTGTTTTTCGTAACGGGGGGTAGACACAGATATATAAATGACTCGGTTTTCTGTGTTCTTTTAAAAGATAAGTTTTTTTTCTCATCGCTAGACTTAAAAACTATTTTTTTATTTACGATTGTAGAGTCGTTAACGCCAATTATGAAGTTGACGACTGAATTGTAACGCTAAACGTTCTAAACAAGAGTTAAAATAGACTGTGTAACTTTTAAGTCAAACTGTGGATGTAGTAAGTTTTTCAAACTTTGCCATCAGAATATTCCATAAAATACAAACTTAATGATTGGTTTGAATGGAAATAAACAGAAGTCTAATAGGACAAAAACTTATGGACGATTGGATGATGATTATTTATTGT